GCTGGGATTGCAGGTGTGTTCCATCATTATGGGCACAACTTGTTCTTCTTTTTCAAGACTATTTTGGCTATTTGGGATCTGTTGAGATTTCCATATGAATGTTAGGATGAGTTTTTCTATTTCCAAAAAAAAAGATGATTGGGATTTTGACACAAATTTAATTGACGCTGTACATCTCCTTGGCAGCATTGGCTTCTTAACAGCCTTAGGTCTCACAGTCTGTGAACATGGATGTCCTTCCAGTTATTGCTGTCTTACTTAATGTCTTTCAGCAACATTTTGTAGGTTTTAGTGTACAGGTATTTTGCCTCCTTGGTTAAGTCTGATCCTAAGATCTATTTCTTATGATGGCAATGCAAATAGAATTGTTTTCTTACTTTCTTTGGATTGCTTTTTGTTAGTATGCACAAACACACTGGTTATTGTGTGAAGATTTTACATCTTGCCACTTTGCTGAATTTATTAGTTTAAACAGCTTCTTCCCCTTGGTAAATTTTAGGGTTTTATAGACTTGTGTTGTCTGAAGAGATAGCTTTTCTTCCCTTCGTTTAGATGCTGTTATTTGTTTGTCTGGCTTGATTGCTTTGACTAGGATGCCTAGCCCTGTGCTGAGTAGACAGCATGGGCTTCCTTGCTTTGCTCCTCGATTTAGAGGAAAAGCATTTCAGCATTTCTTTCTTTGCTGGGTGTGATGTTTGCTGTGGGTTGTTTGGGTTTTGAGTGTTACAATTACAGGCATTTCCTCTAGGTTCCTTTTTTTGCTTTTACACCCAGAAAGACCCACTGCCCCTATTTTTAGCATTAGAGCAACTGTTGGCTTTATTTTCTTCTGATTCTTTTGTGGTTTTAGGTTTTGTGTTTACCTGCTGAATTCATCTGGAGTTTATTTTGCTTGTGGAATAAAGAAGCATTTTAAAAGCAAATATTGAACCAGTTGACCTAGTGAGAGATGCCTTGTCTACATCCTGCCAGCTTCTTTGCCTGTGCAATCTTCTGGGGACAGCTGTGGTCTGGTTTACATGTTCTCTGCCAGGGGTGTGTAACAAACATGCCAGACAGTCATTCTCAGCTCTTACATGTTTCCACTAAAATGAAATTATTTTACCAGCATCCTTTTTCTTTTCCTTAAAGAATAAGCTTTATAGAAAGGTACAAATCATCCCCAAACCCCACCACCTAGAAAGAATACTGTCCCTGTGGACAGCTGTCATCACGACCAGTGGGTTACCCAGTGGTGTCTGCTGTCCCTACCCTGAAAGTTTAGAGTCAGTTCTGCTTGAGTTCCCCAGGGACAGAGATGCTGAGCTGCAACTGAAGGAACTTCTGAATTGAGATAAATGATTATTCGTGCAAGAGAGAGCCCTTTAAAAAAGGTATCTGAGGACCCAACAAATTTTACAACCTATGAATGAAGAGTTCACATGACATTTTAACTTTAGACTGTGTGCATGAATACCCCAGCCCACAGTGAAGGATGATTGTGTGCAGGCTCCTTCTCCCATTCTGTTTTTGTGGCTTTCGCTTGCTTCTGTGAGGCTGTAGCACATGTGCTCAGCCATGTCCTCACACTGCTCTGTGGCAGCCTCTGTTATGTTTCCATGAATGTAGCACTCATGGCCATGGCTCCCAGTAGTACCCAAAGGTCTTTTTATTTCATGCCTGTACCCATTTTTCTGTCGCAGATTTTTAGGGTTGCTATTCCTCTTCAGGTCTGGTCAGGTTTCCTTCCTCTGCAAGGAGTCTTTTGACCTGGCCTTTGTTCTGTCTTACATTTGAACTCTGCTGTCTGTGTTTCTTCCCTGTACCCTTAGCATCTCCAAGTAACCTTTCCCAGAAGCTCATTCTCCCCTCCTTTGACTGTATGCTTGAGAAATGAGTGCAAGGCCCTTTTTATTCTCTTAGGTTCCAGGGGGCAAAGATGCTTGGTCTGATGCTCTTTGACCCTCTCTGCCCCAGAACTAGGTGGTTGAAGAGGTTGTTATTGTGATATTGACTCTTTAGAGTCACCCCTGGTGTCACTGTGGTATGGGACTAGGAGGAAATGTCCTGTTCCTGGTGACAGTCCATGAGGGAAGGCAGGAGAGGAATATGGTGCATCTTGCTCACATATGGAGAAGGGTGGGTTTAAGATTGACTGTCAGCTGGGGCATGACCCAGGGACAGTGGGCCCTGGAGGAGGTGGCCTGTAGCCAGGCCTGAGGGTAGTGTAGGCTGCTGAGAATCTAAAGAAAGTGAAGACACCTTGAGGCAGAGAACAGAGGAATGCTCCAGAGCCAGCATGAGAGGGCAGAGAGGCAGAGCACAGCCTGGTGGCTGTGTAGTGCTGGGGCCCTTATTTTTTTATAGAGAGGTGGAAGGTACCAGAGGGTTGATGGGCTGTGTCTTTGAAAGACTTCCCTGGCTGCACTGTGGAGCCTAGGCTGGAAGGGTGAGGAAGAGATGCAGTGGTTTAGACCTGGCTGTCAGGGGACAGGAAGGTGGCCAGGCATAGGCTATTTGAACATGCTCTGATGGTAGAGGCACAGGTGAGTGGATGGGCTGCACTTTGAGAGAGAGCCCTCATGGGCCACAGTTTGTAGGCAGAAGAGTATGGACACCATCATGGAGATAGGTGGTCACTGTGAGGGGAGCAGGTGTGTGTGAGTATGGGCCTATGAGAGAGTGAGTGTATGTGAGTGTGAGAGTGAGCATGTGTGAGTGAGGGTATATGAGCATGTGTGACTGTGAGTGAGAGTGTGTGAGAGCAAGGTTAGGAAAGAGTGAGGATATGTGTGAGTGGGTGTGAGGTTGGAAGAGAGTGAAGGTGAGTGTATATAAGTGTGTGAGCACATGTGTGGATGAATATGAGAGAGCTTGAGCGTGAGTGGGTGTGTGGAATGAGAGAGTGAGCGTTGAGGGTGAGTGTGAACCTGCAGGACCTTGTATGTGTGTTTGCGTGTGTGTGAAGGAGGAGGGTTCTGGAGCTGGAGTGAGGCCATGTTGGGTTCTGAGTTGGGTTGGGATTGTGAAGGCATCAGATGTGGGGTGAGGCTGTCTGTCCAGCTGGTGTCTGTGTCTACATGGAGTCCTCAGCATATGGGGGATGTCAGGATGTGGACTGAGGTCCTGGAGGAAATACTCTGGGCCATAGAGGTACAAGGTCAGGACAGGGAGAATGCAGTGCCCAGATGCCTGGGGGAAGTTGGCCAGGCTGTGGAGAGCTTGCAGCCAGCCTCGGGGCCATTGCCTGCACTTGCATGCAGTGCTGGTCCAGAATGGCTCCCTCCTAGATGGGGCCTCAGAGCAGTCACCCTGGTGATCCCTGTGACACTGACTGCGAGTGAGGTGGGCTTGCCACATTGGATTTAAGGCCTTTTCTCTTGAGAATCTTGTCTTTTTTCCAGTGTATTTCTTCTCATCCTTCTGCAGTGTGTTTTCAGTTATTTATTTAGATTCACAGTTTGTTCCATAGCTTGAGTAGCCTCTTATAAACAGTCAACCACCATGGCGGGCTTTGTCTAAAGCTCATTCTTAGGGCTGTCTGGTTTATAATTCCAGTCAAAGTGGGGTAAAAGATTAATGACGTAAACAAGAGCACTGTCCAAGAACTGGGTGGGAGGAGTCTGTGTCCTGGTGGTGCACTGGGTGCCCAATGCTGACTTTCACACTTGTGCCTATGTGGCCTTGAGTGTGTCTCGTGGTAGGGGAACCTGGAGGCTTAGGGGTGCCTGCCCAGGGGTCAGCCAGGTCCTGGGATGGGCTGCACACTGGGGTACAGTAGCATTGCTTGATTCTGATCCATTTCCATGGATCAGATGGGAGCTGTGCTCACTCACAGCAGTGTGAGTTGGATGTGGGTCCAAGCCTGGAAGAGCTGGACTTCCTGGACTAGGAGCTAAAGCCAGGAATGCACTATCAGTGGGCCTCTGGGTGCTCCATGATGTGGACACAGGCTGTGACTGGTGCTGATTGCCTCCTCTCCCCTCCCTCCCAGGTGGTTTTGTTGTTACATGAGGAGGTGAACACAGGTAGTAGCTGGTGTGCACCAGGTGAGCTGGGGTCTCCAGGCTGCTGCGGATAGTGGATGGGAGAGGATTGTGGTGATGCGTGTGTGTGTGTGCATTCGCATGCTGGCGTGTGGTGATGAAGATTGGATCCAGCTCCGAGAAGAGGACAGCAGGTGCAGGCCCAGGCTATGGAGGTGCTCAGCCAGGTCCTGTGGAGGCCAGCCAATATGTATCTCATTGGCATGGGAGGAAAAAGCGAGGTGTGTGGGGGGTGCTTTGGACTACAGCTGTGCCCCATTAGTGCTGAGCCCACACCCAGCCTGCTGGTATGCTGGAGGACACAGGTGTGCTGAACTGGTGGCATTGTCTGTGATATTGCAGTTCGGTGTGCAACGGTGTGACTTTGTCTTCATGCCTCGTGTTTAAGGGCAGGTTTCCCTCAGCCCCGAAGTGACAGCATGCAGTGCATGTGCGAGGGAAGTGATAGGAAAGGCCAGCCCCGTGCATGTCTTGGCTGGGGAAGGCATCCTCCACTTGGCACCTGTTTAGCTTCTTCCTTAGAGTCATTGTAGAGAATAAGAGACTGGAGTGTTGGGCTCCGTGCTTTCCCTTGCCCTGTGCTGCTCAGAGGACTCCTGTTGCCCTGCCTGAGCTGTGCTCCTCCCTTTGCTTACTTCAGGGCCTCTGAGTCACAGGGCCTCCTGGTGTGTGCATCTGTGTGAGGGAGGTGGAGGGCCTTCCCACAGTGGCCTCATGTGGGTTGTGGTCCCTGAGAAGGCTGTGTTGGGATACATTGAGGTACTGGGGCTTGAACTCAGGGCCTACACCTTGCACCACTCCACCAGCCCATTTTTTTGTGTTCGGTATTTTTGAGATAGGGTCTCTTGAACTATTTACTCCGGCTATCTTCGAACCGCAGGCCTTCTGATCTCTGCTTCCTGACTAGCTAGGATTACAGGTGTGAGCCACCAGTGCCTGGCTTCTGATAGTCTTTTCTGTTTTCTTAATCTACAGCCAGAAAACCTTCAGAAGAACTGGCTCCGGGAGTTCTATCAGGTAAGCACCCGAGAGTGCCTTTCAGAGCAGCCACTGGGTGGTGAGTACTTCTTTTCATTGAGTATTTCTTCCTGACAGTTGCATCTGGTCCATGTAGAGGGCTGCTGTGGCTGTCACAGGTTGGTCATCAGGTTGGACCTAGCAGTGCTGACCAGTATGGGCTTCACATCTTTGTTTCAAAAGCAATTGGTGTTACTATGCCTTGGTGAGCAAAGTTCAGGTCCTCCTCAGAGGTCACTTTTCACGTTCCATCTCCCTCCTAGTCCAGGATGTGGGGGATCCAGTGGGGTCTGAGGTTGGTCCTGCACTGTCGTGGACGGAGGCCATCACTTTTCAGGAGGGTCTTCTAGCTATAGGGTAAGGGCTTGAAGGGAGGCCAGGTAGGTGGCACTGCCACATGGAGGGGATATTGCTTTGAAGAGACAGGTGTTGGTCTCTGCCTTCCCACAGGGCATATATACCTCCAGTGGAGGTAGATGGGATTAACACAAGGAGCCATTTGGTCCTGTGGTTGGCTCTGGGTGGGTGGCATGTGATCTTATCTGAGGACGGTGAGAATGGGTAAGTTGCTAAGGAGCAAGGGTGAGGGTGACTGAGTGACCACAGCCCAGGGGCAGCAGGGGTGTGCTTGTATATGCATGTAGGTGTTCCCATGTTTGCAGTCCACACAGGGCTGAACAAAGACTTCAGCATTCATGTCCCTTACCTTTGGTAGAGATGGGCAGGGGTAGGGCTGAGTAAGAGACCAAGCCCCATGTTGGGGGCAGAAGGACAGGGTAAAAATGGACATCTATGATGCACACCTGCCTGTAGCCCCACAGCTTCCTGGAGGTGTAGGCTGAGGGGGCCAAGTGTAGGTCTGCAGGGGCTGATCCTCATATCCCAAGTGATACTTGGGCAGACCTTCTCCTCTGCTGCCAGACAGGGGTATCTGCCCAGATGTTTGGAGGTGGGGTTCTTCATTCTCTGCCAGCATTCAGGAGTCTTGGGGCTCCTAGATACTGCTTTGGTTCTGGGATGGAGACAGAAAGCAGATCACTGGGGAGCAGTTGAGGCCCTGTCAGGAAAACTTGAGGAGGAAGGGTATTGGGATTGGGATATAGGAGAGGTTGAAAGTCAGAGGAGGGCCTCAGACTGTGAGTGCCAGGGGAGAAGTCTGTCAGAGAAGGGTCTCAGGTAGTGAGGGGGAGGGGAAAGTTCTGTCAGAGGAGTGTCTCAGGTAGAGAGTGATAGTGGAGGGTCCTCTTAGAGAAGGATCCTTGGCTGACCTGGCAATTTTAACCAGGTCCTAGGGGATAAGGACCTTGTCTTATAGGCTGCTGGATCTGATCCAGTGGCAGTAGTGTGTTGTGCAATGTGTGGGTTGTGTTTGAGACTGCATATGAATGTGTGGACATCCACCAGGAGAGTGGACATGTGTCCCTCCTGTCTTCACAGTCTGCAAGGTGTGGTTCTTGTTCTTTGGCCTAACCAGGGAACAGATGGGTCTGGGTAGTGTCACCAGTTGCATGGGAGATGGCCATAAGGTGATGGCTGTACTTCGTTGTTGTGAACCACCTCCAAGGGCAATGTAGGGACAGGATTCTCCAGAAGCTGAAGGGAGCAGAGATCCTAGTCTTCCACAGTGACAGTGTGGCTGTGTTGACTGGGGACATGTTGTGAGAAGAGGTGCAGGGGACAGTATGGTGACAGGGCCCACTTGAAGCTCTGGTTATTTTTCAGTTGTGCTGAGACCCTGTGTGGCTGGTGCCACATGTGGCTCAGAGGGAACTGGTCCAAGTCTGCTTCCTTCAGCAGGGAGTTCTTGGCTTGTCTGTGTTCTGGGAAAGATGGTTGGCACCATTTGTGTCAGTTCCAGGTTTTTAGCTGTGTGGGACAAATCCACACCAAAGGTGGGGCCCAGCTGTCCCCTCCCAGCCCTCTGAGCCTTTGCAGATGGGTTCTGCTGGTACTCTGTCTTCACTATTTTTTCATCCTGTCCTCAGCCTTGTGAGGTGGCACTGGGAGTGAGCCCTGATCTCTGTTGACAAGGTGAAGGCAGGACAAGATGAAGTGATGGGCTCCTGAAAGGTAGGGCCAGGGACACATCTGTCCACCTCAGGGGGACTGAGCGCAGGTAGGAGCCTTGCCTCAGACAGGCCCATTCTGTGTCATTGGTACCTTATTCATCTATCTTGGCTGCCTGCCTCCCAAGGTAGGCTCGTGGTGCTCTTCCAAGGTGTGGTCCATGGTGGTCTTCCAAGCTGGTGCTGTATGGGCTCCTCTCCTTGGCCTGTGGCTCAGCTATACTTTTCTTTTTTTGGCGGGAGGTACTGGGGATTGAGATCAGTCAGGGCCTTGTACTTGCTAGGCAGGTGTTCTAACAGTTGAGCCACTCTGTCAGCCCTTTTTGCATTGGTTATTTTTGAGATAGGGTCTTTATGTCTGGGCCAGCCTGGACTGTGATCCTCCTATTTGTGCTTCCCCATGTACTTGGGATGACAGGCACATGCCCCCAGTTCAGTCACTAATTGAAATGGGGTTTCACAAACATTCTCCCCAGGCTGGCCTTGAACCATGTTCCTCTTGATCTTTGCCTCCTGAGTAGCTAGGATTATAGGTGTGAGCCACTGTGTCCAGCTCAGCCATGCTCTTTCTGAGCTGCTGCACCCAGCTCAGCATGTTCCTGCTCACACTTTCTCTGAAGAAGGTGTGAGGCAAGGGACAGGCCCTGTTCCCCTACCCCAGAGTAGCAGGGAGACAGGAATGAGGTTGTAGCTTGTGTTTTGATGTGTGGTAAGTGAGGATGAAGGGCTCATGTTGTGAGAACTGGGGTGTGAGACTGCAGCCTTCTGCAGGTACATGTGGTAGTACATGCCAGTTATAGTGTTACAGGTATACTCCACACATATCCTAGTAATGTTCAGTTACAGAGTTACAGATGTACTCCACACATATCCTAGTAACATGTGCAGTTACAAGTGTACTCCACATATATCCTAGTAACTTGTGCAGTTACAGCATTACAGGTCACCCCACATGAATCCCATCACCTCAGCTTATCCATTCTTTCATGCACTTGTGCATCATTTACCCAGTTGCAGCTGTGGCTCATCTGCCAAGTGCCAGATTGAGCAGGACACACACAGTGTCCATCCCATGTGGCTCAGGGAGGTTGGAGTGTCCCTTTCTGCAGTGGTCAGGGAAGGCCTCCTAGGGGGAGGGATTAGGAGGAGCCGTCCTGCCCTTTCTGGGGATTGAACTCGAGCCTCATGCTTGTTGGTCAGGTGCTCCACCACTTGAGCCGCACCCTCAGTTCTTTTGCTTTTAGTTTGTTTTACAGTAGGATCTTATGCTAATGTTTCTGGTTCACTGTGACCTCTGCGTGATCCTCCTCTCTCCTCCTCTTGAGTAGCTTGTTTACAGGCACACACTGCCATGCCAGGCCAGGTTCTCATTTTTAACATTGATTTTCTATTGATGGAATTTTCTACTGCTTGAATTTTGCTTATAGTAGTGCCGAAGATAAATTTTAAAACCTGTTTGTTTTAAAATTTGTTTTATGTTGTTTATACAAATATAAGATGAGCAGGTATTTATTTAAGATTTTTAAATTGAGACAGTAGCTATTCTGTACTTATTAATGAGAATCAGTCAGATGTAAACTAGTTCAAAGAAGGATCCATAGAGCAAAGAGATTCTCCCATCAGCAATTCTGAAATGAATTTGCTTAATAGATGCAAAACTGGCCACCATTTGCATGTGTCATTTGTGTCATTATCAATTTTTAAACTTACAGAATTGTAAAATAGTTCAGAGATAAGTAAAGGCAGAGATAACTCAAATAGGTCAGCTAAACAGGCACTGAGCATTTTTGACTACGTACATGTCTTTCACAGTTTTTCCTGACAGGAATTTTAAGAATCGTGTAATGGTAATGTTTGTGTCCAGCTAATATGAAGAACAGGTACCAGCCTACCCTCCTGCCTTAAGAAAACAGAACCAGGCAAAATGTATGCATTAGTGTGTTTCAAGCAGTGCTCAGTAAGGAGCACAGGATGATGGTCCTTGGGGAGGGACCAAGAGAGGAAAGCTCTATGCCTGCCCAGCTTATATTTCCAGGCTAGTTTCCAGCAAAGTGAAACCTATACTGTTTAATATCCAATCACAAATTACCGAGCAGATAAAGAAACAAGAAAGTGGCCCATAGTGAGGCAAGAACCAATCACGAGTATGGTTAGGGTTGTCAGTGTTATCAGTTTTGCAGAGCCTGCTTTGGCAGGTTGGTTGTGCCTGTTGTCTTCTGTTTTCTCTCTCACTGATTTTTGCTCTTCTTTTTTTCTTTTCTTTTGGTTACTCTGGATTTAATTTTCTCTTTTATACCTAGTTTCTGAAAGTAGAAGATAAAAATGAGCAATGTCAAAATTCAGCATGGGTTATTATCGCCAAAGATCCTGTAGACAGTAAAAGATAATAAGGGAAATAGTATTAACAGCCTTATGCCAATAAATTAGAAAGTTTATATGAAAATGAACATATTTTTGGAAAAACAAAGTGTCAATGTTTACTCAAGAGGCAGTAAATGAACTCAGCCCTTACTCATTAAATTAAAACTTCCCTCATCACCTTTCCACAACTACCCTCCAGGCCCAGATGGCTTCATTGGTGAATTCTGTCAAACATTTCAATAAGAAGCAATAACATTTCCACAGAAACTCTCCAAGAACACTGACTCACAGTCAATCCTTCCTAACTCATCCTATGACATGAGCATTAATCATGCTGACACCAAAAGTAGACAGACGTTACATGATAAGAAAAACATAGATCAGTATGCCCCATGAATGTAAGTGCAAACATTCTTAAAAATTTAACAAATCAAAGATGTGACATGCACATCTACACATGCATATGAACAACACAGTTGTCTCTCAGTATCCTTGGGGAATTGTTTCCAGTGCTTCCCTCAGATACCAAAATCAATAGATGCTCAGGCTCCCTAAATAAAATGACATAAAGCT